CTTCAAGGTGCAGGGGTCCAGGATTATCTTCTGTGTCTGTGTTAATTGGTTTCCCTTTTCTTTGTTGAAGAGGGTCTGTGCAGTCTTTCTGCCTAGTCCGCCATCTTGCCAGCCACCTCAAGAATCAATGGTCTTTAGGGTATTAAACTGTAATATTCAATAGCTCTTTTCTTCAAATTCAATTTCTCTTGTTGCATTATATTAAAACTAATAAATATATTATTAAATTACCAACAAATGCTTACTGGAGCAGGAGTATCTTATTTAATGACTTATTTTCTTCCTTCTAGTCTGTAGATGTGGACTGGCCCCCTGCCCTCGAGGACTGACTTTCAAATTTGAAGACAAAGAATAGAGCTTTCCTGGCATGATGTGGACATCCATTCAGCACCCGATGTAAAATGGCTATTTACTTACCATAACGGTGTCTTGGAAACCATTTGGATCATGTTGATCTATGTGTGATTTTAAATTAGTTGATAACATCTCAGGATCTATGTATGTGGACATATCTTGTGTTAAATTGCTCTATAAGGATGTCTTTAATTTTTCTTTCTCCCCTTCCAGCCCTTCCAAAGCAAAATATGAAATGAAACTATTCTCCCTTTTAATTATTTCCATTAGAGAGGTATGCAAACAGGATACATTCTCTGTTAATCTGAGAAGCTACAATTTCTGTAAGATTTCTCTCCACAAGAGACATCCAAAAACCTGTTGTTGTTGAGTTGATTCCAACATATAGCAACCCTGTAAGACAGAGCAGAACTGCTCCATAAGGTTTCCAAGGCTGTAATCTTTACAGAAGCAAACTGCCACATCTTTCTCCAATGGAGCGACTGGTGGGTTCGAGTTGCTGACCTTTTGGTTAGTGTCTTGAGTGCTTAACCACTGCACCACCAGAGCTCCTTTACAAGAAATATACCACCTTTAAAATAGTGTTCTAAACTTTTTTAATTATCTGGATAAAAGTTGTATCTATGCAGAGGCAGATTTATATAGCACAGTAACCTGTAATATTCTAAAACAGCAAATGTAAATCTGAGGTCATTAATATTTTTCCCAGTAAGCTTCAAGCTGTTACCAATAGAAAGACTTTTGAGTATGATTTGTCACGGATCTTCATGACTTCACAGTTTTGACAAATAAAAATTGTCAATACGTTTCCTGTGGAGGGAAAATAAAACCTTAGGAAAAGAGGCATACCATGGTAAGAGAATTTAATTACCTAAGTCTTTTAAATAAGGAGACACAAGTGCCTACAGCTATTTAATATAACTTCAATTCCCAGTCAGATTATGAAAAATTTAGATTGCTGAACAAAGGTAAACTGATATTACTTCAGAGGGCTTCAATCTATTATCCCATTTCAAATATGGAAAAGAAGATGAGTATCTCCATTTGACACATATGGAAACCAAAGCACAGAAGTTAAATGACTCGTGCACAATTGTTACTTCCATATCAAGGTCTGTAACCGAAGTTTCCTAGTCTCTGGGGTCCTTTCTAATAAACCCTATATTGAGCACCTACTGTGTGAAGGAGGTCCCTGAGGATGCTTGCTGTTTTAACTCATGTAACCATGAGTTTTGACTTTGGGAATTTAGGTACCAAATCAAGGAATTTACTAAGAAATAGACCAAGTATATTTCACACAATCTGATATAATTACCATTTGTTCTTAAATTAGGCATCAGTTGAAATTGTGAAGAAAAACAGATAAAGTAAGAAAAACCCAAAGAAAATAGATGAGTCATTAAAAGTTTCAGAAAGAATCTCATTTAAGTATAATTTCCATCACTCTAATTTGCCTATTTCAGCTTATTTTAGAATATGTGGCTTGGACAGTATGGGATTATGTTTCCCATCTCACTGTTAAAACATCGTTCGTAGATATGAAGATAAATTATTCACTTTGGAAAGCAGGAAAATGTTTTACGATTGTTGATTTAAATCTATCATCCTCCCCTTTTGAAACTGTGTGTCTCATATATGAAGAATGGTGAGTTTTCAATACCAGAAAATGAGAAAGAGATGACAGAAATAAACTTTCGATAAAAAAGGGAAGAACTTCTGTGTGAATGTTTCTCAGTTTCTGGGAGAAATTTTGCTTTAAAAGAAATGTAAGTAATTTGGAAGATAGTCTTTGCATATTACTTTTTGGCTCAGCTTTGAAGAGAACCTGCAAAATGGAAGAATCAAGAACCCAGGCGAGCTTACATTAGAAGACTGCTATTAAATGCGTCCATTTGTGCAACATTTGAAGCAAAGAGTAAACATGAGCTGTAGATACTGCCCTTATCCCAAATGTTCAGATAATTGTGAGACAACAGGTTGTTAAAAATTAATGTGGGGCCTTTGCTTTATGTAGAACTGGGAACTTTAAGTGATGACAGTACTATAGTTTCACTTTTGCTTTTATAAACTATACTGGTATGAGTTTATGATTTCCTTTTGTAGCTGTTAAAATGAACACTCTTTTAATAACACTTTGTACTTCTTAGTGTCTCTTTTATCTCAAATATAATCTGTGGCTTCTTTTTAGGAAAAACAACTCTAAATACTTGGAAAAGTCAAGAAAAAAAAATAAGTTGGTAAAATGAAAATTGTCCAAGATTTTAAGATATAATCAGTTATATTTGCAAGTTATCTGAAGTAAATTTAGAAGTTAAATTCCTGTATCATAAAGGAAAAACATCTTACTTTGGTAGATGTTTTCTTTTTTGAGCTTAATGATTATTTGATTTTTAAGTCTAAACAAGAGAATGAACTGTTATGTAAACTCTTCAGAGTTGATTTGAAAAGTACACTTTTATTATGAAGTAAACATTACTTTTATAATTATATATTTTTCATTTTTAAATAATATAAAAAATACAGGGAAGTTGCCAGAAAAGTATGAAACTTTCTGAATCACTGAGTCGATGTTGCCCTACCACCCCAAATACATTTATGTGTAGTTCCTGCAAACAAGGACATTCCTCTGCTTAACCATGATTTACCATCAAAATGAGGCAATTAACACTGATACATTACTATCATCTACTCCACCTACCCCATTCAAGTTTTGCACATCCAACAATGTCCTTCATAGGCAATGAATTCATTCCAAGGATAACACTTAGGCTTTCGTTTATGTCTCCACCAACCTGAAACAATTCCTCTATATTTGACTTTTTCATTACTTTTGACATTTTTTTTTTAAGATTTCAGGCTCGTTATTTTGTAAAATTCCTTCAATTTGAGTTTATCTGATGTCTCCACAATTACTAGATTTAGGTTGTGCTTTTTTGGCAAGAAAGCTACAAAAGAGCAATTATGTTCTTATTGCATCTTATCAGCTGTCACATAATTTTTATTTGTCCAGTTACCAGTGACTGGACTCTGATCAGCTGATTAAGGTAACGTCTGTCAGGCTTCTCCACTTGTACTCATGCTTTCCCTTTGCAATTAATAAGTATCTTGTAGGGTGACCATCACTCGTGAAAACAAGCCATTGATGATTTCTGCCTGAATCAATTATAGAAATAATTGCCAAATAGTGATTTTCTAATTCCACAATTTCTCCTACATATATTGATTAGCAAATCATTGACACATAGAGCTTTCCCTTGTCCGCTATTTATTTATATCACTGTGCATTTGTGACTTTCTATTTTATCCAATGGGTTTTAATCTGCTACTAACATTACCTATTCTGATGATAAGTGTTCAAGATTTGGCCAGTGGGAGCCCCTCCTAGTTGCCTCCTGTCTCCTTTTGGCATGGCATGAACCTATCATTCTTTGAGCATGTTCTCGCTTTCTGATACAAAATGAAATTCCAGGCTTGTGGTAGTTCAGTTTGTGTGTCAACTTGGCTGGGCTTGGTTGAATGGCTGGACAACTGGATGTAGTATTCCCCACGATGAGACTGGTAATCAACTCCATGGTGGAATCTACTGTGAACATCCGAATAGCTGCCTTAGGGGTGTGGTCTGCTTCCTGCATATAACCTGAAGCCTTGGGGAACGGCCTCTAGCTTATGGTACACTTGGACTCTACATGTAGCCATGTCATTGTTCAGCAGCCTGCCATGTGGTTTGGTAACATCGAGACTGTGCCTTTTTACTTGTCAACCTTGGGTTTGTCAGCCTTAGCAGCCAGCAGCTGTCTGAGTGAAGAAACTCCTCTAGCTCCAGTGGGCCGGGAGCAGGAGGCAGGGCTGGACCCCAAGGTTGAGGGGCTTTCACCCAGCCCCTACAGCCTGGTACTTTGAACTCAGACTTCTAGCCTCCCAAACTGTTAAGAGAATAAACTCTTGTTAAGGCCATCCCATTTGTGGTATATTCCTGTCAGAGTGGCACTAGGTAACCAGAACAAGGCTCATCTTGTGTTTTCCCTGCCCCAGACCTGGAATGGCTAGTTCTCTAGGAAGCCATTATTCTTTTAGTGGAAAATGGTATTTAGTAACCAAGATGTGGGCACTAGATGTGCTAATGTTACGGTAATGCTGCTTCCAGGCTCCATAGAATACAGCTAGGGAACACACACACATCCTCCTATATATTTCTCTCTATATATATGTTCAAAAGGAGCTCTGGTAGCATAGTGCCTAAGGCATTTGACTGTTAAGCAGAAGGCTGGCGGTTCAAACCCACTAGCCACTCCTCAGAAGGAATGTTAGGCAATCTTCTTCCATAGAGATACTGCCTTGGAAACCCAAGGAGGGGTCGCTATGAGTCAGGTCAGACTTGATGGCACATAACAACAACAACGTATGTTCAAAACTATGAGTTATACCAGTACCTCCGATTCCAATCCATTCTAGTTTAATTCCTTTCCATATTTATAATTCCCTTCTCTGACAGGGAGAAATTGGCTCCCATTAGCCTCAATATATTTACCTCAAAGATTAGTACCTCCCATACATTACTAATCTCCTGTTGTTGCCCCCTTAATCTGGACTACTCTAGATACTCCCTTCAAGCTTCATACTATAATCCTACACTGGGGCCCTCACATCACCCCCTTTATCAACACCTACCTGTACCTTGCTCAGATCAGAAGATAGGTAGACAGGCACGAAAGGAGTCAGAAAATGACAATCTTTTAAACAGGCATTTTGGTTCTCTTCAAAATGAGCATTTCAAAGGATAAAGTTACATATGCAAGTATATTCAGCTGTAACATTCAATAAAAAATGTCTAATGTTTCTAAGCAACCAAAACTACTATTTTCCACATAAAGAAGAGGCTTTTGAAAAGAAATTCTGGTTGAGATTTTTAAAGTCAAATAGCAACAAAATTTCAGTGTTTTAGAATTTTTTCCATTTATTACCAAGAAAAAAAAATCACTGTATACAAAGACATTACAAATGTAATAAAATATTCTGTACAATAGAAGGCATTTTGACATTTTAAAACCTATTTATCTTGATACAAAGCTTAACATTAAATAATTGAATGGTACCTGAGAACTTCTAAAGATTTCGTCAGTGCCTCCAAATTCACTGCAGCCATTAAGA